TCCGCTCGGCAGCGAAGGCGTGAGCGCCAACACCTGCAACCTCGCGGGGGAACCTCAAGGACACGCAGACGGAAGGAAGCCAACGCGAAAGACCGGGAGTCCAGGTGCATGAAAAGCCTGGGAGACGCAGAGCTAGGGGGAGAGAGCAGGTCAGGCCGGAGTGGGGGGAGGGCGAGACAGGCAGTTTGTCCGCCTCGGCACTGCTGACGTTTTGGATCGTCTTTCTCTGTCGTGGTGCCGTCCTGTGCACTGCAGGGCAGAGAGCAGCACCCCCGCCTCCACCCCGCGGTGCCAGAAGCACCTGCCCCAGGCTGCGGAAGACAGATGCCCTGGGGAGCAGAGCGACCTCGACCTCCGGTTCCTCACACTGAGACAGAGGCGGCAGGAGGGAGTGCTTTGGGGGCTGCTGGGCTGCTCTGTACCCCGATAGAAGTGGTGATTACAGTGTCGTCTGGCCCTGGCCGGGCGGGTTAGTTGGTTGGAGTAAAAAAAGGTTCAATTCCAGGTCAGGGTGCATGTCAGAGGCAACTAATCGAAGTTTCTCCCTCTCTCTCCTTCCTCTCTCTAAATAATCAATAAAAACATATCCTTGGGTGAGCATTAAAAGAAAAAACCCTGACAGACCTGTGTATAAAAAGGGTCAATACTACTATAAGTTAAAACTAAAATTTAAAACACACACACACACACACACACACACACACACACACACACACACAACCAAGCAAAACACCAGAGAGAGGCAAACCATCTACCAAAGAAGAAACCAGCTAATTCATTGCTCTGGGCCCTCTTACCGGCCAGTCAGTGGGCCAGACACCTCTCCATCACTTTCCTCCTCGTGCAGGAAGTCAGCTCTAGTCATACAGCTGGTAAACCTTTCCGTCCTCTTGGCAGATAAAAGCCCCGTTAAACTCGAATGCCAGGTAAACAACTAATAATTGCTTAATATAAGTATGTCCCCCATATTGCAAGCGTGATTCACTTATCTGAGATTCAAAATTAGCAGGGCATCTGTATTGTTATTTGCAAAATCTGACAACTCTATTCTTGGAGAAATCTCCAGGGTTTTAAAAAGAGATGTTAATGATTTTCTGAGAAAAGGGAAGAGGGAGAGAGAGATAGAAACATCAATGATGAGAGAGAATCGTTGATCGGCTGCCTCCTGCACGTCCCCTACTGGGGATCAAGCCACAACTGGCATGTGCCCTGGCCAGGAATCAAACCTTGACCACCTGGTTCATGGGTCAACGCTCAACCACTGAGCACACCAGCCGGGCAGTTTTTGTTTGTTTGTTGTTTTTAATCTATTAACCATTGGCTACAATATAAGCCTCTTTCAACTTTCCTAAAGATACAGACCTATGCTAAAATAAAATGTATGTCTTTTTTTTTCTTTTCTTTTTTTTCATTTATTCAGCGACCTCAGTCTCTCTGCCGATTCATTCAGCTTGGCTCCCTACGCACTTTGACTTGCCCCAGGCATTTAAATACAAATACTCGAACCAAACACTTGCACATGCAAAGTGGAGCCTGTGTATGTAACTTCATGAAATGAAAATGAGCTCCTTCCCAGCCGACCTGCAGGTCTTCGCCCCTGACATGCTCTCCTGCCCTTCCCTCGGGCATTGACATAAAATGAATTTTACGGATGAACCTAACCTCATGTTCCGTCTTCCCTCCCACTATAGTCACGCTGGCTCACGTTGGGCCTCCCCCTCAGGGCTGATCTGAGGGGCCCTTCCTCCATGGGTCTCCTTCCCAGTGGGACCCCCAGGGCGCATAGCATCGCTGGCCCGGACACCACGCAGGAATACTTGTAAAGAGATGCATGCCTTGTTTAGGTGGCTGGTCGCTACTCCATGCCACCCCTGAATTTAATTATCTTGTCTGATAGTGCCCCCCAGGGTCTCTCCGGTTTGCAGCTAAAGGCTTGACTGCAGTGACTTGTAGGCATGATGATCGGGGAGGGTGTATGCATGGCCCCGGCTCTCTACCTGGGACGTTTTGCCTCCCAAGGGCACTGGGATGCGTTTTGGGAGCAGCCGGTGATGCTCCTATACACCCTACAATACCCACGCAGTTCCCGAAGGGCACATTCAGCTCCAACCCACGTGCCGGGTGGAGAAGCCCCTGTGTCCCCAGTGGCCCGTTTGGTGACCATATCTGGGCCCAGCATACAGGCCAGCATGGCCCACGCAGGCCGGTCCGCGGCAGGTGCGGGTGCAGAGCCCCCAGAGACCCTCCTCTTTCTGCTCCATCGCCCATTTCCCTGGCCCTGGCTGTCCTGAGGGCCCAGGAGGAGGCCAGCCCACCGTCCACCATCGCGGGAAACGTAGGGTTACTGTATCGGGCCACGTCGTGTTTCCAGGCATTTTTATTTTGCCCTTAAAAACCTTCCAGGGGGGAACGCAAATCCTAGGAGCTTGGCTTTAATGGCTCCTTTTACAGAACTGCTCCAATTATAGATGGTGAACTCCGGGAAACCCCGCTAAAGAATGCAGGAGAGCGAACGTTAAAGGGGTTAATTTAGGGGGAAATAGTGGCGGATGGGGAGCTTGGTCTTTGAAACGCCCTCGTTGTTAAAAAACCAAAGCAAACCCCTGGTGCTGGCCTGGTCCTTGGGAGGCGGTTTCCTGCCTTCGCCGTCTGGAGGGCTCCAGGTGAAGTTAATTCCAGATGCGGATGGGCCAGGGTTCCCAGAGCAAGGGTTCCTCTGGCCTCAGACCCCGCACCCAACGTGGTGTCACGTCTGTTGTGGTTGCGCAGCCAGAGCTGGTCAGGGTTTGCCCCTTGCTTCCATGCCGGGGTCCTCGGTGGGGCGTTCGGTCTCTGGGTTCGGCTCTCTTTGTCCGCCTCTTGCTTTTTCTTTCTTTGGAACGCCATCACCACCGGCATGACACTATATACATGTTGGCCAGTGGCTTCATGGTTGCCAGAGCCGAGAGATCGCCCGTTTTCCCATCACCCCCACCCACCGGCAGAGCACAGGACATGGCGACTGCTCCATCCGCTTCCTCCCGCTGGTCCCCGGGATCCCATACCCTCCTGGTGCCTTTCCTCCTGTCCATGCTGCTCCCAGATCCTTCCTCCCGGCACTCCCGCGCAGCCTCTGCCCCGGGCCCTGATCTCTCAGTGGCGGAGATGGGCACCTGGACGCAGCCCGCACATGGCGTGTCCAGCTACACGCTCTCCCCAGGGAGCTCGTCCAGTCTCCACGCCACCTGGCCGCAGCCCCGAGCCAGCATTTACCAAGCGCCTTCGAGGTGCAGAGCTCTGCTCTGAGGAGCAGCTGTGTGGAGTGCCAGGGCCGGGGCTTGAACTCAGGGAGGCTGGCACTGGGCCGGAGCGGGTCTTGGTCCCCAGTCTGTGTCTCCCCCAGGAGCCAAACCCAAGCTGTGATGTTCTGCTGCCACCTTCCACCCTCCCTGTTCTCTGTCTCCCCTGCCCCACCTTGTTTTCCCCACCCCAGTAAATGGCCCCTCCCTTCTCCCAGGTGCTCAGGCCCAGAGCGAGGAAGGCCTGTGTCTTCTGACCTTTTATATCCGCTCCCTCAGCACTTCCCTCGGTTTCCCTCTCCGGGCAGACCAGGCTGGGCCGTTCCCGGTCGAGGCGTTGTATTCTAGTGACGTGACCCTTTGGTGAACTGGGTGAAAGGTACATGGGGTTTCCCTGAAGTCTTTTTTTTTTTTTTTTTTTGTGCAACTTCCTGTGAGTCAGTAATTATTTCTAAACAAGACATTACAAATAAAATAAATTCTAAAGGTGGATTTAAAAATGAACTCCTGAAGACCTGCCCCGGCCCACCTCCCCCTGGTCTCTGCCTTCTGTCCTCGGCCCCACAGTGCAATCTCCAGGGGCAGCCCGGGCCGTCTTTTGCAAACAACTCAAGTTGTCCACTGCTCAGCTCTCCATCCCCATGGTTTCCACTTCATGCAGATCATGAGGCTCCTGGGGCTTCAGTAACAAAACACCACAAACTGGGGGGCTTAGGACAACAGGACTTTAGTCTCTCCAGTCGGAGCTCAAAGTCCAAAGTCAAGGTGCCCAGGGCTGTGCTCCCTCCACAGGCCCAGGAAAGGGTCCTACCGTGCCCCCCGCTCCTGGTGGCTCTGGCGCTCCTCAGTGTCCTTAGGCCACCGTGTGTGTGTGTGTGTGTGTGTGTGTGTGTGTGTGTGTGTCTGCCTTCACATGGCCTTCTTCTCAGGACACCAGTCATCGGCTTAGAGCCCTTCCTAATCCAGTATGACCTTATCTTAACCGATTTCATAGGCACAGACGCTATTTCCAAAGGTCACCTTCTGAGGTTCTGGGGCATGAACTTGGGGGGACACTATTCAACACAGTAAACAGAGTAAGGCAGAGTGCTCGCTGGTGCCTTACGGTCCCCACCACTTTCCTCCTGACTGCCCCCTTCTGCCCCCTCACCCCCAGGCTCTGCTCCAGCCCGGCGGTCAGTCTCCTGAACACATCCACCTGGCTCCCGCCTCCGGGCATTTGCCTTGGCAGTGCCCTCTGCCTGGAATGTCCTCTCCCCAAATATCCTCATGGCTCTCCTCTTCCCTGCTACCCGATCTGTGCTCAGATGGCCCCTCCATGCACAGGGTGGTAGACATGAGGGTGGCTTGCAGCCATCCCCACCTTCCCTGGCCCTGAGCAGGATTGCCCCACCTCTTGAGATTAGATGGATCACATAGCCTGCTGTGCCCAAGGAAATGTGAGTGGAGCTTCCTCTAGCCCGGCTGTGCCCCCTCCCGCTTCAGCTTTTACCCTGGGATACCTGCCCACCTGCCCCACCAGGTTGCCTGCCCAGAGGACAGTTTTCTCGGCGTGGTTCCTCACTGTGCTCTCCGCTCCCAACACAACCTGGCACAGAGCCAGCGCTGAATAACAGGCCGGTGGATGATGCAAATGTCTGAGTGAACTGTGAGGCATGCATGCAGCCCCCCAACCACCTCTCCTGTAACCGTCTCCTATGCGTTTGGCTGCTTCCGATCTAGGGCAGAGCATCAACCCCAAGTTGGCGGGCCTGATCGGGCGGCACGGGCCCCAGAACAAGCAGCCCTTCATGGTGGCCTTCTTCAAGGCCACCGAGGTCCACCTTCGCAGCGCCCGCTCCACGGGGAGCCGGCAGCGCGGCCAGAACCGCTCCAAGACGCCCAAGAACCAGGAGGCCCTGCGGATGGCCAACGTTGCAGGTACGCCGGGGGCGGGAGGGTCCACACACAGACCCCGGGACCCACACACGGGGCCCAGCGAGGAGCCACTCGGGAGCCACGTGTTCCACCGGTGGTTGTGGAGCCAGTGCTGCAGGAAACAGCCCACAGCCCTCCTGACAGCTCACCCCTTGGCTGTCCACCTCATGGTGGCACTCAAATGCAAGTGCCAAACTCGAGTATAACAAGAGGCCAGCCATGCACGTTCCCAAACAGACAAAACAGTGGTAACAGCACGTGAAGGGAAGCTCTGAAACCTGTGGGGAGATGCCACACCCTCTTCCCAGGGAGGCTGCTGCCCGGGGAGCCGGGAGGATGAACAGTGGAGGACTTTGCTGCATCTTTAATTTTATTTCTTTTTTAAAAAAATATATTTTATTGATTTTTTTTACAGATAGGAAGGAGAGGGATAGAGAGCTAGAAACATCGATGAGAGAGAAACATTGATCAGCCGCCTCCTGCACACCCCCTACTGGGGATGTGCCCGCAACCAAGGTACATGCCCTTGACCGGAATCGAACCTGGGACCCTTCAGTCCGCAGGCCGACGCTCTATCCACTGAGCCAAACCGGTTAGGGCTATTTCTTAAAGTGAAAAATATTTGAAACTCCTAACGAATTTGCGTATTTGTTAAGTGCGGGTCTCCCCTCTGGTGTCTGTGGGCAGCCCTGTCGGAACGGAGCTCCTAGCTGAGCTCAGCGGTCCTGCTCCTGGGCCTGGGATTGGTCCCAGGAAGCACAGGGGCACATGGGTGTTCAGAATATGCAAAGCAGCCACATTCCCAAGTCAGCCTTATCTCGTCAACAGCTGGTTTTGCCTCACCCAGCTGATTTTGGACTTTCTGTTCAGTTTCCTTTTCGAGGGCGAAGGGCAGTACGGGTGCTGTGACTGGTGAAGGTTTTAGGCACAGGCTTCCCGACCCCACAGGCTCAGATGGACCGTGCTGGGTGTGGTGGCTCCTGAGTTTGTGCACAGGGCTTTGCAGGGCTTGTGTTCTGCTAGGTGCATCCATCCTCTTCTCAAAGGAGTCTGTGATCCCCCACATTAAAATCCAGCAGACCCCCTGAATTTGTGTTGGAAACCCCCAGGCCGTGCTCTTGGGGGCTCGGGGCCCACGGTGAAAGCCAACGATGGTCTGCCCCAGGGACTCTGGTACCTCAAAGTCCTCCACACTCCGTTTCCCCCACCACATCCCCGTCAGGTCTCCACTTACATAACCCCCAGGACGGGTCTCTTACTACCTCACATGCAGCTATTCTTTCTTGCCTGGAACCTGTCTCCTTCCTGTGGATTTCTTGGCCCTGTCGGAAGTTCAGCTAAACTCTGCCTGGAAGTTTGATAAGAAAAGAAATACCGAGACCTGGGCCCCACTGCAGGCTTAGTAAACCAGAATCTGTGTGTGGGTGTGCGAGTGTGCGAGTGTGTGAGTGTGTGTGCACATGTCCTGGGGTGCTTCGCCTCTTGTGCCGGCTGGGAGTCCTCCTGCAGAGCCACACAAGTCCACCTCTCCCAGCAGGCAGCCCCCTGTGCGCTGGAAGGAGACGTGCTCCAGCGTGTTGCCTGCTGCCCTGCCGGCCGGCCGGAAGCTCTTTCCTGCAGGCTAGCCCGCCCCCAGGCCTTGCGCTGCTCTTCACAGGCTGTGGTTTGGGGATGAGAGACTGGGGTCGCTGCCTTCCCTCCACACCCTTCTCCCCACCCACGTTTGGACCCAGCTCCCTGGTAATTAGCCACTCTCGGCAGCTGACCCGCGGGGGTGGGAGCTGAGCCCCAGCACCAGTTCTAACTCGTTAGCTTCTCAGGCGGGGGCTCCTGGCGGTGGAAGAAGCAGCGGGCCTCCTGCTCCTGCTGGCTGTTGGGGTGGGAGGGGCAGGACTGGAAGGGCAGGGGGGCTGGGGCCTACTTCTTGAGCGTCCCTTTTCTTCCCTTTCTGCACCAACATTGCCAGCTGCTTGGGTGTGAAGCCATAGGAGGGCTCTGGGAGAAGAAAGTGCCACGACTAATGAGCCATGTCTGCCGTGAGCAGAGGAAGGGCAAGTAGCAGCCTGGGTGCCACTTTCCAACCCCGTCTTAAAGCAAAGCAATGATATTTGGCTTCATGTTGAAACCCAAGGCCCGACAGACCAAGGCCACGAGCAGCTCATGGAGCTAGTGTGGACAGGCAGCTGTGTGTGCATGTGTGTGAGCGAGAGAGTGTGGATCAGACAGAGAGACGGATCTCGATGTGTTTACCAGTCCTGAATCCGTACCCACATGCCTGCAAAGCTCACGCACTCCTGGAAAGCCCCAGTGCATCATTCCATCCTCAGAGAAACCTCAGAGGCTTTTGCTGGAAGATCAGTGTGGTTTGACTTCCTGCCTCTTGTTTCTTCCTGGTGGGGGTGGTGATGGGGGCTTTGTCCCAGGCCCTGTCTTTACCCCTCTGGCTGGCCTCTGTGGCGAGGCTGGTGGAAGCAGGGCCCTCGGGCAGCCTCCTGCAGCAGCCTCCTGTCGGGCATGGATGGGCTTTGACTCCTTTATGGAACCCGGGCAGATGTGAGCATCTAAACCCCACCTGGGTATACAAGACACCAGAGTTGTCGGAAGGATCCAGAGGGTGCTGTGAGCTTGGACTGTGAGAGCAGGAGAGCTTGGCACCTCCGTGCGGGACTGTTGGCCGGGGGTGGGAGTGAGTTTGCAGGCCATGGGTCCTCCAGCAGGGTTTATGTCAGAAAAGCCCCCCTCCAGCGCCACACCCGCCTAACGCGTGCGCTGCCGTTCCCCCCGCGTTCTGCTCGCCCGCAGAGAACAGCAGCACTGACCAGAGGCAGGCCTGCAAGAAGCACGAGCTGTATGTCAGCTTCCGCGACCTGGGCTGGCAGGTAAGGGGTGGCCCCGGGCTCCCCGATCGTGTTTCTCTTCTGCATCGATTAAGACCCTGATTTCAAGTGTCCAACCAGGGCAGAGGATTTAGGGGAGGGTATGGGGGGCCTCAGGAAACCCAAGAGTAGAAATGTGGCTGTGACTCAAGCTGGAACGGCAGCCCTAGCACTTTGGACACTGGACCCCATTCTGCATGTGAAGCCCGTTTCCACCTGTGCTGGCTGCTCAGGGTGCCAGACCCAGCTGCCCTCCTTCCCCTCCCGTGACTCACATTCCCAGGCAGAGACCGATGGGCCCCGCCCGGGTCCAGCACCTGTCCCTGATCCAGCGAGCTCTGCCAGGGGTGGGGTTGTGCTATAGGAACATGGCTGCCCCCCCCACCCCCCACCCCCCACCCCCCGGAGCCAGGCGGATGGAGGGAGGTGAAGGGCAGGGGATGAGTCACAGCTACTCAGGGTGTCTTTGACTTGGGAGCCCCGCAGTCTGGCCCACAGGGGGAGGGTTTTGACCTGCCCACGTTTCCACGGGCCCTGGACACGGCCCTCATGGCCCCACGCTCCTCTCCCCGCAGGACTGGATCATCGCGCCCGAGGGCTACGCCGCCTACTACTGCGAGGGGGAGTGCGCCTTCCCCCTGAACTCCTACATGAACGCCACCAACCATGCCATCGTGCAGACCCTGGTGAGTGTGGCCTGCACCCCAGTGGGTGGGCGGGTCAGCGGGGCCACCGGGTCCTCCTGGGCTGCGCCAGGCTGGGGCGCGAGCAGGTCTCTGCCCAAGGCCACACTATGACTTTCAAGGCCCCGATCCCTGTAAAACAAGGTTAAGAATTCTGTGTTGACATAAAGATATGTTTAATCTTTGACCCTCACGTTGACTTACTTCTCCTAATTTCAAAAGAAATTAGAACAGTTTTGTGAGTTCCTAAAGGTACAGTGGGCAACAGTCCCTGTGCCTGGTGGAGAGGTGGCTGTGGCCCCGCCTCTGTCTGGGGGCTGCTGTCCTGGTGCTCCACAGTCCCTAGTCCCCCCCATAGTGCCTGGTCCCCCCATAGTGCCCGGTCCCCCCACAGTGCCCGGTCCCCCCACAGTGCCCAGTCCCCCCCATAGTGCCCGGTCCCCCCACAGTGCCCGGTCCCCCCCACAGTGCCCGGTCCCCCCCATAGTGCCCGGTCCCCCCACAGTGCCCGGTCCCCCCACAGTGCCCAGTCCCCCCCACAGTGCCCAGTCCCCCCCATAGTGCCCGGTCCCCCCACAGTGCCCAATCCCCCACAGTGCCAGGTCCCCCCACAGTGCCCGATCTCCCCACAGTGCCCGGTCCCCCCACAGTGCCCGATCTCCCCACAGTGCCCGGTCCCCCCACAGTGCCCGGTCCTCCCACAGTGCCCGATCCCCCCACAATGCCCAGTCCCCCCCACAATGCCCGGTCCCCCCACAGTGCCCGGTCCCCCCACAGTGCCCGGTCCCCCCACAATGCCCGGTCCCCCCACAGTGCCCTGTCCTCCCACAGTGCCCGATCCCCCCCACAGTGCCCGGTCCCCCCCACAGTGCCCTGTCCCCCCCACAGTGCCCGATCCCCCCCACAATGCCCAGTCCCCCCACAGTGCCCGGTCCCTCCACAATGCCCGGTCCCCCCACAATGCCCTGTCCTCCCACAGTGCCCTATCCCCCCCACAGTGCCCAGTCCCCCCACAATGCCCAGTGTCCGCACAGTGCCCGGTCCCCCCACAGTGCCCGATTCCCCCCACAATGCCCAGTCCCCCCACAGTGCCCGGTCCCCCCCACAGTGCCCGGTCCCCCCACAGTGCCTAGTCCCCCCACAGTGCCTCTTCCCCTGGGTCATGGTTGAGAGTTTGTCCCCTCCCACAGCTCACATCCACCTCCTGGCCTTGAACTTCGCAGTCACTCAGGGAATTTACTATTGTTGAGGGTCTACTATCTGTGGCCCCTGCAGGGGGAGCTGGGGACCCCGTGGGGCCAGCAGGGCCTCGTTCTCCAGGGGGGGGAACAACCAGAAAGCAAATGAGCAAAGGCCAGAGGGAGGACGTGGCAGGAAGATGGCCCACCAGAAGATTAGGATAATGAGATGGGCTGGGGAGCCAAGGCTGCTTTCAGGCTGACCTTCCATGGGGTCATGGAGGATGCAGTGATAATGAGATTCTTAACAAGGCGCCCAGCACCGATGACACAGATTACACGTTACTTTTGCTACCAAACCAACAGCAATCGCAATGAGTTAGGGACTGTTCGTTAGCTTGGAATCAGGGGCTCAAGGACCTTGGTTGTCTAGCTCCCTGCCCTGAACATTGTCTGGGCCTTTCCTGACAACTGCTCCCCCTCCCTGGCTTGAATGCTCCTGATGACAGGCAGCTCACTACCCAGGCCCATCCCTCTCCCACAGCTCTGTCTGTTATGGGGCTTTGTGCCTCTTTTGTTTAGTGTCGGCCTCCCTCTTCCCTTGTCCCACCCCTTTCGCTGGGACTAGGCTCTGTCCTTAGGGGGACAGCCTCTTTGTCCAGCATTGCTTGCCCAGGGCCCCGCCCCCAGCAGCAAAATCCAGAGCCCGTTTAGGATTGAAAGTCCCTGCGCTGGCGATCAACAGGCCCCCAGCCTACTCTGTGGCCTGGACCTGCTCCCCCGTTCCCGGAGGTCCTGCTCCGAGGACCCAGAGGTGATGGGAGTGTCCCAAGCTGGCAGGGGCCACACCGCTCCCCTCCGGCCCTGCCTTCGTGGCCTATGACCACCCACTCAGTCCTCGCTTCATCAGAGACCTCAGGCTCAGATGGACCCTCCGATTATTCTGAAATGAGGGTCATGTTTTCAAAGGGGGCGAATCCTTGTCATCCAGGAGCCCTAGTGAGAAACAGAGGGAGCGAGCTGACATCGGGGATTTGCTTTAAAGTGATTCCCGGGTGGAAAAGATGGGGGAAGGTTCAGATTTTAAGGCTGTGAGCAGTCATCCACAGTGCTGGCACTGGGCACTCGTGGTGTGTCGGAAACCTGGAATTTCCCCTAAAAACAAACAGAACCGAATCTCCAGCCTGTCCCGACTGTTGGCATATCTGACTGCGCTGCTTTGGTTGCTGCAGTCAGTTTGTGGCCTGAGAAGAGAGGTGTTCAGTTTTCCCCAGTCCTCACTACTCCTTATTGCCTCACTCCTGGCCTCATTCACTCATCAGTGACACTCCTGTGGAAATGTAGGCGTTTGAGTTTGTTTACCCCCTGACCTTGTCCTGTGTAAGGACACAGAAGCCCTGAGTGCGAGGGGCCGTAAGCCTGAGTGACTAGCCGGCCTCGTCAGTCCCACCTTCTGGACGGCCTGCTTTCTTGTTGATGTCCGTCCACCCAAGTGTTTGCCCAAATTCCTTGCCTCTTACTTTTATTGCTCAAGAAGCAAAATAGTCCAGTGTGGCCTAGCCCTGCACCACGCAATGCAGTCCTATTTTACATGCAGCTCTTGAGCACTTGACATGCGCCCAGTCAGGGTTTTTTTTTTTTCTTTTTCTTTTTTGTTTTTTTTTTTAATATATTTTATTGATTTTTTACAGAGAGGAAGGGAGAGGGATAGAGAGTTAGAAACATCGATGAGAGAGAAACACCTATCAGCTGCCTCCTGCACACACCCCACTGGGGATGTGCCCGCAACCAAGGTACATGCTCTTGACCGGAATCGAACCTGGGACCCTTGAGTCCACAGGCCGACGCTCTATCCGCTGAGCCAAACCGGTTAGGGCAGGGGGTTTTGAAGACTTGGTACAAAAAAAAGTAAAACATCTCCTTAGTGACTTTTTAATGTTAAGTATATCTTGAAATAATAATATTTTTGAAATACCAGGTTAAATTAAATATGTCATTTAAATTAACTTTACCTGTTTCTTTCCCGTCTTTTTAAATGTGGCTGCGAGAACTTTTAAAATGACAGGTGTGACTCTTGAATAGGACAGATCTAGCTCAGAGATCAGCAACCTTTTCCTGAAAAGTGCCAGATGGTAAATGTTTTTTACTTTGATGTGAGAGTCATAGTTGCCATTGCTCCACTCTGCCCTCATCGTGAGAGTGGGGCTACGTAAATGAATGGGCGGGGATGGGTGCCAATAAAACTTTAGTCACAAAACCAGTCAGCTGGGCAGGATTTGGCCTGTGGGCTGAGCCTGGTCCAGCTCAGTGGTTCTCAACTTGGGGCGGTTTTGCCCCCCCCAGGGATATTTAATGTCTAGCGACATGTGGGTGCCGCTGACCCTCGAGCCCAGGGGTGCTGTTAAAGGCCCACAGTGCACAGGATAGCCCTGCAAGAGAGGGCGATCTGGCCCCACGTGTCTGATCTGGCCACTGACTTCCCTTGTGTGCTGCGCAAGCCTCTGTTCGGGCACGTGGGTCCCTCATCTGTGAAGCCGAGATGATTACAGAACCAAGTTAGTGACGCAGAATGTGCTCAGAACCGGGCACGCTCAGTGAGTGTCCCCTCGGTCATTTTGCCCAGGTGGCGCGTGTCCCTGACACACATAGGAGGCCAGAGAGCAGGGCCCGGCCCCTTCTCACCACGGCCCACGTCTCGCTGTGCGTTGCAGGTCCACTTCATCAACCCGGACACAGTGCCCAAGCCCTGCTGCGCCCCCACCCAGCTGAATGCCATCTCGGTGCTCTACTTCGACGACAGCTCCAACGTCATCCTGAAGAAATACAGGAACATGGTTGTCCGGGCCTGTGGCTGCCACTAGCCTCCTGGAAGGCAGGCCCTCTGGGGCCACCTTTTCTGGATCCTGCGACTCACCACCAGGTCCCCGGCCCACCGTGACAAGGAGCCAGGGGACCGGCCGCCTTGTGCGAGGCCTTCCCGTCCCCCTCCCCAACGTTAATGGTGTAGGAGCGTTAAGGATTTGAGAGGCAAATGGCTTTTGATCAGTTTTTCGTTGTCATCCTATGGACAAGATCCTATAAGCTGCTGCAAGTAAAACCTAACAGGAAAAACATTCTATAAAGAAAAACTGCCAGGCCACGGCCCTGCACTGACTCGTTCCCGGGGCAGTTAGGAGCGCCCCTCACCCAGGACCCAGCGTGGGAGGAAGGGGCGCAGGGAGGGGTGGGCGTGTCGTGTCTGTGCTGAAGGAATGACGCGGAAGTGCCTGTAATACATGTCCCAATAAAACGAATGAATGAAAATGGTTAGGATGTTACAGATACATTTTCCTGAACACTCTGTCCGCATTTCTTGGATTCCCCTGATTTCATAAACAGAGGCTGTGGCTGGCGGAGGGCGGGGAGGCCCCTCTCCATTCCGTTTGGGTTTCGTCTGAGGTTTCCAGAGACCCAGCGTAACGTAGACTTGCCCAAACCCAAGATTTGGCTGGGAGGGGGAAGGGCAAATTCTGCTCAGAGGAAGGGGCGTGCTGATCTCGAAGGAAAAATGCGTGTCGTCATTCAGCTGGGCGTGTGGTGGCCCTGCGATGGCCCTGCAGATGTTCGCACGTGCTCGTCCAGTTCCCCGGCTGGGACATCCGTGTGGCGCAGCGTGGAGGACGGCAGCATGAGCACAGAGCCGGCGGCTTGACCCTGAACGCTGGCCAGCGGGGCCCTGTTTAAAGAAGTCCCCAGGAAGCCTAGCCCTCCATAGGGCTACTCCCCATCCCCCAAGTAGGCTTGTCTGTCGTGCAGTGACCGCCGCTTCTGAAGCCCGGGTTCAGTCTGGGCCATGGGCCCCTCTTCTCATGGGCAGACCCCTGCTGAGGGCTCCTGGAAGCCCAGCGGGAGTTCTGCTGGGCGTAGGGTGAGCAGGGCCAGATCTCCAGGGGAAGGACCTAGAGCCTCAGAGAGTGACGCCCTCACCGAGTGTCCCGATTGGGATGGCTCCTGGTGAGAGCCTTTCTCGCCTTGGCCGGGGGGGCCCCCTAAACAGTGTGCACCGCCTCCCGCTGCAGCCCAGGGCTGGGGAGCACAGGCTCTCTGTGCACAAAGACCAGCGTTACCCAGAAGGCCCTGGGACAGGCTCTGGGGCGACCGTTCCTCTGTCGTGATTAAGTTTGTTTCTGGAAACTTGGGGAAAACTTTTGTTTTTCACTTTCTTTTGCTTTTTCTTCTTCAGTAGCTTGGGCTGCAGTCTTCACTCTGGCTGGCCCACAGGGAAGAGTCGCTGTTCCTGTTACATTTTATTTCATCTGTTGGCAGGTATGGGGGTTTTTGTGTGACCCCCTCTTGGTGCAAGTTTTCTCACCTCTGGTTCGCATCGTTTGTACATTGAAACGTGTAAATAGTTGTTACAGAACAAATTATTTATGTCCATCAGAAGATCCTTTCAGACCCTCTTCCAGTCGCTTGTTTGGGACGATGAGCTTGCTTCCCTCCAACCTGCTTGTTTTCTTATTTAAGACTATTTATTAACGGTCGGACCAATGTACCTTCAGCTGTTGCGTAGAGCAGTCCTCAGCGAAAATTCTGTATAAATAGACAAAATAAAAAGGGTTTTGCCTTTGCAATAAAAGGAGACATTCGGTTCTGGTTCCTGGGCCTGTGTATGTCTGTGTGTGTTGGTTTTTTTTCTCTCAACTTTGGTCACTGGCGTCCCCTTGGTCTGCTAGGAGCTCTCTGCCTGGCCTCCACCATTCACACACTGTTTATCCTCCGGCCCTGGGAGGAAGGGGCACTCCCCAATATTTGGTGCAGCTGTGTGGGGCGCTGGGCAGGAGAGATGGAGCCCAACAACAAATGTGAACTTGGTAGGCTCGACTACAAAGATCCTTCCCTGAGTTACATGTAGCACAGCTGTCAGCAGCTGTTTCAAAGAGGCAGGGGGTAAATTAGCTGTGTTTACTGCTAACATAGTTGAAAGGTTTAGTCATCCCAATAAAATAGAGGCACAAGAAAGAAAGGGAAAAAAAGGTGGGAGGGGCGCGTACACCCAAAAGTTTTGAGCAGCACAGGCTGCAGAGCCTGCATTGTCCGGTGGTTTGGGGGCTGCTGCCAGCTCCAGGCCCCAGCTGTGGGCGGCCCACCTCAGGCCTGTGAAGCGGCCAGGGGCCACTGCCCCAGCCCGCAGAGCAGCCACACGCGTGGGACAGCCTCCTGGGTTCCTTTTCGCTTTGAAGTGCACGCTCAGGTCACCCGATGGGTATTGGACTCCCGGCCATCACTCGGCCAGGCTGCTGTCTCTTCCTGGTGCCTCAAACAAGCGGCAGCTTTTAACAAGTTCCAGGCCCTGTGATTGCCCAACCCCTGTCATTGTCCTGATGCTCATTTGAGCTCTTGGTCTGTTTCCAGGCTCAAGACCAAAGTTGCAGACCAGGGGCCAGATGTGGCCTGCAGACGTGTCTCATTCCCTGCATGGTGTTTATACTTTTTTTTTTTTTTAAGTGAGTTCATTTCCAACATGTTTTAGGAAATCAGAAAATTGGGGTGAGGAAAAAAAATCCCGAATTCTGGCTTCTCCTTGAGAAATTGGCAGGTCTGGCCTTTCTCCTCCCTGTGTAGAAGCTCTTGGCTGGAGGCAAAGAGCAGTTGTTGCCACAGTCTCCACTACTCCCTATTACCCCTCTCGCAAAGATGCACATGTCAGTTGCTGTGTTAAAAGTTGTAGATACCTATTTATTGGTCTCTATGAAGAGTAGGAAAGTAAGAGCTTGAGAGAGCCACACACTTCAGGAAGAGCTGATGACAAACCTTTCGTTCATCCCTGGCTCATTTCCCCCATTTTACACCCAGTCAGGCTCCCACAGGCTGTTGTGTGTGTGCGGCTGCAGCGCCACAGAGGGCCTCATATGTTGCCCTCCCCTCCCCCCTCCTGGTTTCTGTCTCTCCTGCTCATTTCCATCTTAGGGCATTTTCCGTTGCTGCTGCTCCCAATCCTGCTCACAGAGCACCTGCATCAGGTAATGCTGCTCCCACCACGGGGCCTGACGTCACTGCCTGTCATGCTGAGAGGGACAAAGAGGTGAAGAAATTACTCAACACCCCCAGCTAATCACTGCTGGATCCTGGGATTTGACATTTGAACCTGAAGCCTGCGCTTACACAGAATAAAAGTTTATTTTCTCTCCCTTAAAAGCAGTCTGAAGGTCAGCCATCCAAGATCAGGGTGGCAGCTCAGCGGTGCCATTTGGGATCTAGTCCCTTCCCACCTTCGCCTCATGATCCAACGTGGCTGCTGGAGCCCCAGCCATCATATCTATAGTCCACCCTGTATGTGCCCTTTAAGCAGCCATCCCAAAGGGTAGCCACACAATATCCATGCCTCACTAGCAAACATAGTCATATGGCTACACCTAGATGCAGGGGAGCCTGGGAACACAGTCTTTATTCTGGGTGGCCATGTACGTAGCCAAAAATCAGCAGCCAGGGTCCTATTGCTTTGTGGAATTTGTGAAAGCGAAAAGGTTAGCAATTAGCTATGTGTATTAGTTTTCTATGACTGCATAACAATCACCACGAACTGGCTGGCTTGAATCACCAGCTATTCATTACCCTTCACCCGTGCGGGTCAGCAGTGTGGGTAAGGTGTAGCTTGGTTCTTTGCTCATGAACTCACAGGGCTGACATCAAGGTGTCAGCAACTGCATTGTCTTTCAAGCCCATTCAGGTTGTTGGCCAAATCTCATTCCTTGCAGATGTAGGACTGAGGTCCCCAATTCCTTGCTGGCTGTCAGCCCCGGGCTCTGTCAGCTTCTAGAGGACATCCTCACATCCTTTCCACGCGGTCCTCTCACACATGGCAGCTTGATTCTTCAGAGCCAGGAGACTCGCCTTCTCCTTTTAAGGCTCACCTGATTAGGGCAGGCCCACCCAGGCTAATCTCCCTTGGATGAGCTCAAAGTCCATTGATTGGGGGCCTTCATTGCATCTGTGAGATCCCTTCCCCTGTGGGAGTGAAGATTGTATATTGGGCAGGAGTCTTGGGGTCATCTTCGGATTCTGCTTGCATAGTAGCTAAGGTGCACTACACAGTGGGGGGTACCTGAGGGAGAGCGGACCCTGTGTCCCGGCCCCAGCCCTGTGCGCAGGCAGGAACACACCCATCCTCCGAGGATCCTCAGGGTTACCTCGTGCAGACATCTTCTCCTCGCCTGTGGACCGGTTCCTCCTGGCTCAGACCCCTTCAGGACTCTGGCACCAGCCTCTCTTGGTCTTAGATGTGAGGAAATAAAAATAGAAGAGGGAAAACACAGACCTCTCCCAAGCCTTTGGAGTTGTGACAGCTGTTTGGACAGAGGCAATGTGCACCTGGGCTGGGAACACAGCGCTTCCTCCACTGGCTCTGGGTCTTGCCACCTGTCCCCATCTCATGCACCCACCCCACCAAGCAAATCCCCGCCCCGTCTCATGCACCACTCCACCATGCAAGGCTGGGAGCTCTGCCTATGCTAAGTGCCTGAGCCCTGAGGCATGGTTTCGGGTCACGTCACAACACCAGCACCAGGACGAGGTTGCAGGACTAAGCAGACAAGCCCCGGGCGTGGCCAGCTTCCCAGGTGGCCGAGTACCACTCAGGGCCCGGCTCTGAGCAGCCTGGGTCTGGGTGAACGCCTGCTGCTGCAGCCCCAGATTCCGAACCTTTCAAACAAGCCCCATGACTTCATTTTGCTCTGAGCCCCTCAAGTCCACTGGGGCCTGTGCCCAGTGTACAGAGCAAGGACTTTTGTGCCAGGCCCAGGGTCTGAGTGGGCCTGTGCCACAGTCACCATTCAACACATGCACTGTGGGCACCTGCGCTCTGCAGATGGGTTCTGGGTGCGGAACACACGCCATGACCTTGGGTGCACATCCAACCACAGGCAGAGCAGGTGAGCAGGTGAGCAGTCAGGGAAGCGGGACCACGTGGAGCTGGGAGGAGGTGGCACAGGGCCCAGGAGGAGACAGAGGCCGGAGGCACCCAATCAGGGCCCAGGAGGAGATGGAGGTACCCAAGTCAGGGCCCAGGAGGAGATGGAGGTACCCCAGTCAGGGCCCAGGAGGAGATGGAGGTACCCCAGTCAGGGCCCAGGAGGAGACGAAGGTACCCCAGTCAGGGCCAGCAGGAGACCTGGGACCAGCAAAGGCTGCTCAGCCAGAGGGTTTCTCAGACAGGACACTTGGGGCCAGATACATCTCCATGTGAGAGGTGCCCTATGCCATGTAGGACGTATAGCCCCCCAGACTCTATCCACTCGATGCCAGTAGCGCCCCTCGAACCACCTGTGTCCCCAGACCTTGCCACGTGTCCCCTGGGGGCACATTGCTCTCAGTAGAGAACCACCAAATTGGACTGAGCTCAAGCCAACGGGGCAGGCGCTCTCACTCATCCTCCTGCACCCCAGCCCTCTCCTCCCCCACACGCTGCTCCAGCGGCACCCCTCCTCGCGGTTCACACCGTCGCCCCCACCCCCCCGGGGCCTCCTTCCTCGGCGCCTCTGCACTGCTCTGCCCCGGCCAGGAGAGCCCTCCCTCAGCCACGTCAGGTCCTGTCCCCACACCCCGGGCCCCTGTTGGCCACGGCGGTCTCCACCTGGCCCTTCCTATCCTCGTCTCTCTGCTTCTCTCTCCATGATGCTCATTGCCACCCAAAAAGCGGAATGTTTTACTTAATGGTGTGGCTGTTGTCTTCTCACCCTCCGGGGAGAAGGGGTTTGGTCTGTGTGGGTCACTGTGGGTGTCCCCAGTGCCCAGCCCAGGGCTTGGCACACGGCAGAGCTTCCTGGACAAGTTTGATGAATAAGGGCCATTACTGTTATTAATAGGCCCGGCCCCAATAGCTGACGACCTTGGAGAGGCTTCACCCCTGTGCCTCCCCGCTTCAGTCAAGGGCAGGGCGGGCTCTGTCGGCTCCTCTGGGCAGAGCCTTGGCAGCTGGGCAGCAGTGGGGGGTCACCAGACCACGTTTTCCTAGGTGCCCAGGACGCCTCCAGCGCAGCAGTGAGTGGCTGCTGCCTCTCACCGAGCCCGGCAGCTCTACGCCCTCCACTCTGGGGAAGGGGCGGCTGGGGGGATGAGAACGAGCAGCTGGCCTTGCATCCTGCTCTCTTTCCCAAACTCATGTCATCATTCGATGCCACAAGCACGCCACCTAGCAACATGCTGATTCCCAGGAGAAGTCTGTGCGTTGGGTGGGGGTGAAGGTGGCGGCGGGGGATGCTGCAGACGCTGGCTACCCTTTGCCCAGAGACCCAGACCCTCGTAGGTGACCCTCGATGGTGCCCGTCCTAATTAAGTTATAGAAATGCTGAATAAAATGGTTTCAGTTGCAAAGGCCAGCAGAGAAATGGCATACTTGAGTCCTGACCCTTTCTGAGCGGATCCAGACCCAGGATCTCTCCATTTTAGGAGGTTTCAGCAGAAGTCGTCTTGCCCACTCCGCCCAGCCCAGAGTTGGAGCGCCAAGGCCTGGCCCCTTACCTGGCATCACACCTCGCCTGTGGTGGGCGGTCACCCAGAGGTGCCCTGAGGGGCTGGAAACAGTCATTGCTCTGAGCACCCTCCTTCCCAGCCGCCCTTGGGGTGGGCGGTTTTCCGGCTCGATGGCGCCTCTCCAG